TTTTTAAATTTTTTCCGACAATAGTCAATATTTACGGACAGCCTCTCTTAATATCTTATTTTCAAGGGCGTTAAAACATAAGTAAGTGCCCTTGCCTTTCAGGTCTCTTCAAGATCTCATTTTTTCATGTCATAAATTTTCCATTCATGTTATCAAATACTGAATTTCGTATGGTTAATACTAGGAATTACCTGGTGGTTATGGGCGTGTCAAGCCAGATATTGTCACCTATGGATCAGGAGTCAGAGGATCAAGCTTAAAGTAAGTTATCCAAATATAGTTCTTTCTTTGCTTTACCCTGTACTAATGATTAACATGGAAACTGTAAACTATTGTATTTTCACAGAGGTGGCTGTCGATCATTGTCAGGCACAAGTGTGGCATCTCCTGTAGTTGCTGGAGCTATAAGCTTGTTACTTAGGTAATTATTATCAATTATTAATTATTATTATTATTATTAATTATTGTTAATTAGGTAATTATTATTTGGTAATTATACAGCTGTTTAAAATAAGTTTGGTTAAGGTTTTGTAGCATGTTTCTAAGCTGACTTCTCTAATATTGTTTGACAAATAAATGAATTACAACCTGAAGCCTCCAATTTTTTGTTGCATGTTGCGATAGTAAAAAATCCAGTTCTAGTTCACAATTCTAATTTTCTGATAGTGCTGTGAAGCATCGTGGCAGTGCTATCAACCCAGCAAGTGTGAAGCAAGCATTAATGGCTTCTGCAAGAAGATTGCCTGGGTTTAATATCTTTGAACAAGGTAAGATACCTAATTACCTGGCCACCGAATTGAGCAGCTAGTTATTCACAACATTGTAGTGYTATAGATTACTTGATGAAACAAGTTACACAAAACGTTGTAGTTAATATAATAACTTTATTTCAAAACAAATAATAAGTAATAGAAAAAAGTTGCAAAAAGGGTGCTGCCAGGAAAGAACTGAATCCTCATATATGAACAACATTTATCTGCAACTTACCTCATGATAATGATTTGGAATTTATTGAGTGTTAACTGCACCTTTTTGAAGCATTTGTAAATCATGGCAACAATATTGTGCATTTGTTGCATGGCATTGTCTTCTCACATGTAGCTCACATTATCTTGTGCACCCTGCACAAGCTGTTATCAGCATACAACAAGCTACATAAAGAGTGGTTATGTGTGAGACATTGTTCTGCAGGTTACCACATCACATAGTCATTGAGACAAGCTGCACAGCTTGTTAATTGTACTATTTTCCATGGATTTCTTCCTGTTGTTTATAACATGTCATTGTATTTTATTTTAGGACATGGGAAGCTAGACCTCATCAAAGCCTATCAGATCCTCAACAGTTACAAACCACAAGCAAGGTAATTAGATTACTCATATGAGGTCATGCAAATATATTTAGAGTTTTAAGCGTGATCTTATTACCTTACTTTTTACTTTTTTGATATGTTTTGCTTTTTTGATTGTTTCAGCCTCAGCCCTGCATACATTGACCTGACAGAGTGTCCCTACATGTGGCCATATTGTACACAACCCATATATTATGGTGCTATGCCTATTATAGTCAATGTAAGTACATAAGTGAAAAATGATAATAACAATATAAAATGGGAGTTTGCAGTGGTTCCTTAGAAGGACTCTTCTGCAACTGAATCTGTTGTGAACTAGTATCATGATCCTCCTATAAGTTGGTTGAGAGAGAGTCAAAAATATAAACCTGTATTGTCGGTTCAGAATTACTTCGTGATAGGAGAATCGTAATTTTGCGACTACAGCCAATAAAGGATGTATTGGTTAATCCCAACTAGCCACCAATCTAAACCYGTATTGGGGGCTCAAAATCATGATAAATTATAAGAATTAGTTGATTTTTTATTCCTCCATAACTTTAGTTTTCACTACCTGTTTTCAAGACTGTATTGCTGACTCTAATTTGTACCTTGTAGGTAACCATTCTAAATGGAATGGGAGTGACTGGCAAAATCAAGGACAAGGTAAAAATCTCGGCCATTGATTTTCTTTTGTAACAAATAATTCCCTTTATTATCCAACTATTCAAATTTAAAAAAAGCCTGGAGAGAGTACAAAATTAATATCCTGTGACATTTGTACTCTAATTTATTTTGCATGGAAAAAAACTGGTTTTGAAAACTAGTTTAAAAAAATTGTTTTGAAGACTTCTTTTGGGGAAAACGTAAGCTCAGTTGGATAATAAATAACTTATTAGGCATTTTAGTTTGAAATACAAGTGGACATTTTTTCTTGTCTTTGTATTTTGTCTCACCCTATCAGACTCCACCCTAAAATGTCTAATAAGACTTATTTAGTAGCAAAGTGTTTTTCAATTGTTTTTGTTTGTGTTTTGCAGCCTGTTTGGCACCCTTATGAATCCCAACATGGAGACAAGATAGAGGTGAGTGCAAGCAAGAGCTTTTAAGTTCACATAATCAGTGGACACCATTTTGTTTAATGCAGCACAGACAAGTTTTCAGACCAATCATGTCTGATGTACCTCACTAAGCTGCAGAGATAAATTTAGACACCTTGCCTTATTTTGTCTTGCTGTTATTAATAACACATCAAGTGCATCGTGTTTGACATTAGTACAATCATTTGTGGTAGTACACTCAATATTTACCTCTGGAGCAATTGGAAGATCCCATTTATATGGATGTGAAAGGAACTTTTTTATTTGTATTTTGCGATAACCTGTCTGTCACTTATGTTTTCATCCAGTTGGCATTTACCTACTCCTCTGTGCTGTGGCCCTGGTCAGGGTTTCTAGCGGTGTCAATCACTGCATCTAAAGGTGCTGCAACATGGCAAGGAATCGCACAAGGACATATCACCATCACAGTCACTTCTCCTCAGGTAAATGTTATATCTCTTTATCTTATCCTATAATACCCAATATTGGTTGAGATTTGACTAACAACTCAGGGTTTGAAATAACGGCCAGACATCGGACAATGTCTGATGAAAACTGGGACTTGTCTGGTTAAATCTTTGCCTTGCCAATCAGTTTGACCAATAATGTTTAGTCAGAAATAAGGTATGACTACTCTAAACCTCTGTGATCATGACCGGCGACAGATCGGCTGTTACTGCAACTAAACAATCAGTTTCGCTCACCATATTCCATAAATAAACCTATTCATAAGAGTTCTTAATCGAGGATCAAAGTGGCATTTAGCGTATGAGAAAAATAACGCTATGTGTTCAAATCCCTTTTCGATTCTTAAAACGTTTCTTATATTGTTTTTTTTAACAGGAGTCTGAGACAGAGCCTAGGGTATCTATCATCAAGTTGCCTGTACGAGTAAAAATCATCCCCACCCCACCCCGCAGGTTTGTGCAATGTTTTGATAACTTGGCAGTGCATGCATAATCTACTACTATTACTACTACCACTACTACTATAACATTATGGTATTTCTTTGATTCCTTATTCTAGTAAGAGAATACTATGGGATCAATATCACAATCTACGTTATCCATCTGGTTATTTTCCACGTGACAATCTGAAAATGAAAAATGACCCACTAGACTGGTAAGCGATCGTTTATATTTATGATACAGTGAGCTCGCTATGCGCGTTCCTATTGGGTCAAATCTGTGCTTGCTTGAGAATGAAGCACGGTGGTTGCTGCGTGCGCAAAGATGTGAATGATATCTATATCGAAAACTATAACGTATAGATATTTATGATACAGTGAGCTAGGTATGCGCGCTCTTATTGGGTCAGACCTATACTCTCTTGAGAACGAAGCACGGTGGTTGCTGCGTGCGCAAAAAATGTAAATGATTTCTACATCGAAAAATGCAACGTATATATAATAAATATAACACAGTGACCTCGCTATGCGCTCTTTTGTTGGGTCAAATATGTGCTTCCTCGGGAACGAAGCACGGTGGTTGCTGCGTGCGCAAAGACGTAAATGATTTCTACATTGATAACTAAAATGTATTAATATTTTAAGAAACAACGACATTTTCGATAAACATGTTTCGACGTCTGTTTGACGCTATCTTCATTATAAATTTTGTAAAAAGTGGAAATATTTAAAACTTGATTAAGTATAATATAATTAATATTAATATGATATATATTATAATTTATATCATTTTTCTTTTTATATAATATAACAAAAATAATACATTTTTTCTTGCTCTACAAAGTAATAAAGCACCCAAGAAGTTCGAGAATCACTTGCCTATAGAGGCTTTGCACTATCACGTGATAGCAGCATGACAGGAGGCACAGCAACAGGGTATCTTTCCCCTGGGAAACTGAATTCTTTCTCATTTAAATCAGATTAGACCAGATTCAATTGTTCCTGCCTCCTGTCATGGCTGCCATCTTTGACTCCAGGTAATGATATTATCTGTCATACTTATTATTTTATTTTTCCAGGAATGGCGATCACGTGCACACCAACTTCCGCGACCTCTACATGMACCTGAGGGATGCTGGGTATTTTGTCGAGGTGCTTGGCGCTCCCTATACGTGCTTTGATGCAACTCAGTACGGTTAGTTCAAAGAATCTTTCTTGTTCAAATATCCTCATACATATATGATAACTCTTACTTATCATCGCCTGCAACCTAGCAAAAGCACTATCAGAAATTGAGCTTCGCCAGGTAAAACTCCACGCACCAAGCAATTTGGATTTTGTAATTTCCGCACATTTTTGGAGTGTTTCTCAATTTTTGCTCACTAGTTATCTTGTAGTCCATAAAAATTTTGTTCCTTTTTAACAATAGTGTGTGAGGGAGAGTTTGATAAGTTTAACTTCAAGCCGAAATATTTTTAACGTTACCTAACCATCTCACCAATGACCAATAACCAGGGATCAAAGTAACTATATTTAACTTCTGTACTAGTTTCTTCCATTCAGCTAGGAAGTAACAGCTCTCCTAGATAGCTAAAAGTGCGCACCTTATTCCCATAACCCACAGTCTTTTAAAGGTATTCCAAGCTACTCGCAAAAGACTTTTTGCTCATTCGACCTGGCAACAAAATCCAATTGCCATTTCTAAATTACAAGAACAGAAAGTTCAGTACCTTAATAAACACCACGGCTAAATGTGGCAATAATGATGCACTACGCATACAGTACACTTAAATATCAAGTGCGACTCAAGAATCAAACTGGGAATATATCCATATGGAATATCTTTATCTCATTCTCAATCTTACACAGCGTTAATCATGATCTATAAAATGGTGGTTAAGATTAATGATGAATAATAACTTGCTATCCCTTACCATACGACGCATCATAACTTTACATCATCTTCAGTCTTGGGTTAACAGATGCATGGGAGTTTTAAATCTCATTTGGAATTTCAAAGTCCTGTTCCACAAAAGACAATGCCGTACACTCGTTATGCCGGGGTGTATAATGCATTGCGCTTTACCATTCCCAGTAAATCCATACACCAGCATGTTTCGTAATTGCAGACTATGTAATATTTAGCCTGTCTTACCATGATGAATGACAGTTACTTTGCTTTAATGCGCACTGTGCTTGTGTTGTCTCAGGTTTTAGAGTCTCACAAGTATGATGATAGAACTTGTTTAAATAAGTGCTTAACTACTGCGAGCGAATTTCTCCTGTCATACTGCACTCTTCTTTATTACGCAATCATTGCACATGAGTCTTGTACTCTCAGCACACTTTACAGATTAATAAACTGCAAATCTAAATGGCTTTTAAACGTTATCTATATCCCGTATCGTCATGCATGTGCAAGACATTTTTTTCTTTACATTGCATTGCTTATTACGCTGCCATTGTGTTTAAACCGAAACTAAAATGAATCATGCTTTGTATGTTGTAAAACATGCTCTTATTGCTGTTGTAAGTAGGTTTCCCTTACCTTCCTGCATGCATTGCCATTGTGTTTGATCGCCAATAAAATGCAATGTATTCTTGTATGTTATAAAACATGCGCTTTTTGCTGTTGTAAATAGGTTTAACCCCTACCTTCCTGCATGCACTACACTGCCATTGTATTTAATCGCCAATAAAATGCATTGTATTCTTGTATGTTGTAAAACATGCGCTTGTTGCTGTTGTAAATAGATTAAACCCCTGCCTTCCTGCATGCATGCCACTTCTTCTATGTAACTGCATCAAACATGGCTATCCCTCTTACTATACCTGACAATACTTCATATACCAAGTATACAGTGGCTTAGTGAGCCCCATAAACCTCTATAGGTAACCGCAGCATGTATGCGGGATATCTCTTCTAATACACTATACTGCACATCAGAGTGTCATATACACTTGTATCTTGAACCTACATCAAGCCAGCCTTTCTATACTGTAGAAGAAGACGAAGAACAGGTTTAATATTACGATCTTATCCACCAGGGACCTTGCTATTAGTAGATAGCGAGGAAGAGTACTTTCCAGAGGAGATCGTCAAACTTAAACGAGACATAAACGAGAGGGGCTTATCAGTCATTGTCGTCGCTGACTGGTACAACGTACCGGTCATGCGTAAGATTAAATTCTATGACGAGAACACGCGTCAGTGGTGGATGCCCGACACGGGTGGAGCGAATATACCTGCCCTTAATGAGCTGATGACGTCATGGGGGATGGCATTCAGTGATCAGGTGTATGAGGGGGACTTCATGATTGGTGAACATAAAGGTATGATTGGAGATTGATCGTTTTTATGGTTTTATGGTCGTTACTCCCCCCCACTTACCCCCTTCCCTTCGTTGTCTGGATAAAGTGGACTGGAGGATGGAAAAGGTGATTGTGCTATTGGGTGTGATCTGTGATGAAAATAAACTGCGAGCGGTCGCACTTTTCCATCCAAACTCAGTAAGGGCGAGTGTTTTGATATTCCTGTGAGCGCGCATAGATTAGAGCCGAGTAAGCGGGGCCGGCGCCCGTCCACAGGAATCCCAAACACTCGTTTTTTTATTGAGTCTGAAGGGAGAAGTGAAGGAAAGGATGAGAACAAAGTTCTTGAGTAATTTAAATATTTCAGCATGTCGTACTGTGTACGTGTTGAAAGTAAAATCTTTTTTTATGACAGTGCATTACTCATCTGGTACAAGTATTTCCACATTCCCCAAGGGTGGTATAATCATCCGCCACAAGCTCAACGATCAAGGACACGAGGTAGTAAACGGGGAAACCAAGGTTAAAGAGAACGTGCCAATACTTGGTCTGTATGACCCTGGTGAGAAAGACCGTGGGAGAATCGCTCTTTATGGGGACTCTAATTGCCTGGATAACGCACACATGGAGAAGGGTATGTATGATATCCGAACGATTTTACCGAAAATAGATGTCGCCCTCATGGTGTTAAAGTGCACATGAACCCTTCGACAATACTTTCAGTACTGATTCTACA